TAATCCTCTTGTTTGGAAATCCATATTCATTTAAGAAAGATTAAGAATTTCAGTAAGAAAATCAATAGCTTTAATAATACCTGCAGAGGGAACATTATCGCTGTCACTATATTAACATGGAAACTAATCAAAGCAATGTGGTCTCTGCAGAACAGCTCTAAGGAATTACAAAAATAAGTAATGAAATCTAATAAAATTATTTTGTATGTACGATTAAAATATTTAAGAGCCTTCCCACCCTGATTTCCGGCTTATCAGACTGGTGGCCTTGCCTATATGATGACCCTTGATTTATTATGAAAGAAGAAAACACAGTCCCTTTAAAGTCCCAGAAACGTGCTCTGATAACCTGAGTGGGTTAGGATAGACAAGACACATCAGAGACTGACATGTACATCATTTAATCAGCCCATAAAATCCTCATGGAGCAGCTCCAGGAAACCAATGAATCAGAGTTAGGAATACCTCAGTCTGCACCACCCACACTTTGACATCAGTGTAGAAGCAGGCGCTGCACAGGCAAGTCCCAGCCACCCAACAAGGAGCCAGGCAGCCACACAAACCAGCTTGGTACCCAGTGCACATAATGGAAGCTGTTAACCACCTTTCACTTAACTGAGAAAATGCTCAATGCGGTCCTTGAATATGGGATAAATTAGAATATCCATGTATAGGATATTTAAAAAAAAAATATTTGGTTTATGCTTGAACCAGTTCAATGATGTTCCCATTCCTAATTTAGTGCCCAAATACATCTGAGTATTGTACTCAGATGATTTTGAACGTGGTCCGGGTTCCTGCAACTTGCAACTAAAATTGTCTCAGACTTTCCATTTCAAGAACATGAAGTCAGCTTTCTATAGCTTTAGCAACGTATTTGGACCAGGAGTTTTTCATCCCAGATAGCTGGCTTCAGCAGAATACAGTAGTTTCAGCTAAAACTGTTCAGGTATTTCTGAACACAAGGGTAGGAAAAATATGTTCTTTCAATCATATTAAATCAATCTTAGGACATTTTTGCAGTAATATTAATATTTAGCCTGAGATGATAGGCATTTCCTCAGTGTCAAAGATACGATTACCATCGTCCTCCATGAAAAGCTGCCCAGGTCTATGGCTGAAACTCTAAAATAGAAGTTAAAAACTCAAAAAAACATGAGGAGCACTGGACCATGACACATGAAATAGGAAGGCAGGGGAAGCAGTTCAAAGATGGAGCTACCTCATGGGTTAACAGCAGGAACCAATATTAGGAAGAGAGAAAAAATAAAAATAAAGATGAGGGTTTGCAAGGAGGTAGAAAAGAGGGCAGAGTTGGGACTGAAACAGAATCAGGAGATACTCAGGAGCAGAGGTAAGGATACAGAGTGGGCAGCTTCAAACAGGAAACAAATAGGCATCAAAAAAATTGTCAAGCCATCAAGGAAAGTGACAGAATAGAGGTAAATTTCAAACAAAGGAAAGAGAATAAACAACCAGGAGGGAGTGGTTAACATGCTAATCAGAAAAGGGAGTTAAAGCCTAAATATTGCATAGCTTTGGATTTCTCTTTTCAAGCTTTGGTACTATTCATGTTGTTGTAAGTCAGTCAGCTTCTGCAAACCCAGGCAATCCAACCTGAAGAATAATTTAATAAATAAATAAATAAATAAATAAATAAATAAATAAATTAATTAATTAAATAAAAAACACCAAAAAAACCCACCACAAACCAAAAAACCCAGGTTGATGAGAAAGAAATGTGGTTAATAAACAAACAAAAATTTGTAATGTTGGTATAATAGGGAATAAAACAAAAGCAAATTCAGAATAGTCATGTTAGTGGCTGGAATGAGCTTATGATTAAATATACCCCCTTTGACCAAATGGGCCTATATTTAAACAAAATAAGAAATGTATCATCCTATTTCTAACACAGAAGTACAGGATTGAGGAAACATACTAAATAATCCACACAGATTTGGCTAAGATGTCACAAAAAAGCAACAGCCAAAGACTGATTAATAAATAGTGGAATAGACATTCAAAGAGAAAGGTTTATGTGATCAACAAAAGGAACATAAACTAGGCAGAGTACAGTAGGACACTATAACAAAAGATACAGAAAATAGAGGCAAAGTAACAGCTGTTATTTCCAAAGTGGGAACTGAACCAACTAGAGAGCCGCAGCATCATTTTGTTGTCCTGCACTATTACCTCAAAAACCGACTGACAATGTTTGTTCCTTTATCTTGTGGCAGGTTGAAATATAGGCTCACATGGCAGAGAAGAATAGAGGCTGTTATTTGATGAGGCTTCCTTGGTTGCTGCTTCATTTCATGCAGCTGATGAACAAAGTTCTAGGTAGAAATCAGTATTAGAAGGTGAATAGCAAGAGTAGAAGGGACCAACAAGAGTAGAGATCAAATGAGGCAGGATAAGTGTCGCTGCTAGGTTAAGGCACTTTAATGATACTTTGAAGACCTCTATCCTGTAAAAACTAAGATCCTATGCAATAACAGTTTTCCTTGTAGATGGATTGCACTGCACCAGTCTCTTTCATTTCATTGAGCAGTCAGCTTGGGAAGATGTGCAGAAGCTCTCATAACCACAACTTGAAGGTAAGGGAAATCTGACTTGGAAGGAAAAAGTGCTGTAAGTGTTATAATTAGGGAGCATTTTCCTTTCAATCTTCATGTATGATTTCTGTGTAAGGTATGGATTAATTGCACTGGAGTTCCATAGAAAATGTGTATATCATTACAATTAATACTGATATAATAACATTATTCACTAGAGATTAATTAGACCTGCACTGGTAACCTTAGTGCTGGAATTTGTTTAACTATACCTTGGGATTTCCTAAATTAAGCTTACTTCCCTTCCTTACTTTTTCTTTTACGGGAGGATTTTTTTTTAAATTTTAAAACATAATTCAGCTACATACTAGGCTATATTACTGTATTATAGGGGAGGGGGAAAAAAAAAGGAGTCTTAGGACACATGTAGTGAATCCCTGTAAGAAAAAAAGCAATACAAACAAAATTAATATTATTTCAATATACCTGAACGTCTGTTCAGTGTTAAGTACCTAGTTTGTCTTTGTTACTATTCTGAGGGATGTTTTAGAACATTCCTGCCATTGCATAAGCAAGAGCCCCTTGTGGACAGTTTTAGCAGTCCATAACTGAAAGAGTATGATTACCACAATGATCCTCCCAAGGCTGGTCACCTAGGAGCCACAATTGGAACAATCCAATATGAAAGCCTTCAGATTTTTCACTGTTGTGAAATTTCTACTAGCCTGTAATTATAACACGCTCAATATTTCTTTCCATATCAAAGTGTCTGTTGTTTTTAAAACACTAACTTATGTGCAGTCTTATTTCCCACCTTGCACCCAACCCCCTAATATCAGAAAACTGACACTGCCCTTCACACTTTTCCCATTGTCAAGTTGAGGGGAAAGAACACCGAGGTAACAATTTCAAGTGGGGTTTTTTTTCAATATTACACTTATATGCTGTTAGAAAAGTGTCACTGATGGCAGTGGACATAGTCAGGGTTTCTTGTGACCTAAATAAAATTACATTTTCTGAATTAATAAGCAATTATCTGATCAAGTATGTTTTTACTAGATTTGCCTGAAAAGACAGTTGGCTCTGTGTACCTAATATGCTTAGAAAATGGTCACTGTCATACATTTTTTACAAAACCAAGCATGAATTGTTCAAATGAAATTACTGCAGCATTTCTCCACCCACAAGTTAGTAGTCTAATGCAATAACCTAATGCAAGATAAAGTACACTTACCCCAAAAAAATTTGTTATTGATATCACTTTTGAACTGTTACTTGCAAATTAACTTATAGTAATAGTAGAGAATTTGATACTTTAACTCCAGCCACCATCTACCAAATCGAAGAGATATCAGAAGTGTTGATAGCTTCATGCTTACCTGACAATGTTATGATGAGAACGAGATGTAGCTGTACTCTTGCACTGGCAGAAATGTCACAGTAGAGCAGTACAGATGAACACACTAAAATCCCCTGCTTTTAATGGCCAATTGATACTGGCAGCCGAGATGAGCATTTGGACTGCAGATTTTCCTCCTCACTAATATAAACCCGAGCCTGAACCCCACGCCACTAAATGGCACGAACAGACCTGAAGGTAGGTGGTAGAAAGTATAATTTATAAATGCAGCTCCAATCCTATTCATGAATCATTTGGTTCCAACAGAAATCACTAGGTACAGGAAAATCACTTTCACATCTACAACTATCCAAATTCAATGGATTTCCAGGTACTCTTTAAAACTAGTATCTCAACCTTACCTAGCTTATTTTGTTGTAAAGACCGAAGTTTTTCCCCAATGAAAGTTCAGCTGGCACTCAGAAACCAGAGGAAAAAACAAACAAACAAACAAACTATAAAAACCACAGAAGTACAGTCACATGGTCTGTACTCCAAGAAACAAAGAGCAGCACAGCAGCTATGCAACGGGAATACAGCCACACCTGGGAACAAACCTCGCTGGTCCTGGAGACCATTTTAGAGCCATTGTCATGGTGAAAGAGTCAAATCCTATCAGCATTTCCTACACATCGCCTTGGGGCATGACAGATTTAAGTTTAGATTAGTCTCACTCAAGGGTCACATGGCCAACAAGAATGACAGAAACAGCTGTACATTCATTTATTTTTCTGAAATACAAAAAAGAAAAAGATATAGTTATGAAGACAACTAAAAACATCTCCTCGGCGAACAAGTAACGGTGCTGATAACGTTCTTAGGCATGGACATCAGAAAAAAAAAAAAAAAAAAAAAAGTTGTAAACATTCTGCCACACCAGTCGAAAAACAGTCTGAAATATGCTTTTAACCTGCAGGATAGTAGCATATTTCCACCCGGATGGAGTTCGCAAAATTGTCCCGAGATGATTGAAATAAATTACATAAATAGGAGAGGGGGCCAAACGCCTCTCTGCCAGTCCGTGCCGTGCCCCACACAGTCCCTCACACGTCGGGGTAGCCGCAGTAGTACACGGCGCTGCTGGCGTCCGAGACGGCTGACGAGATGGGACCCGAGCCGTCGGGCGCCGCCAGCCCGGTCGCGTCGTGGCCGGCGAAGGGCAGCCCCAGCTCGGGCTTGCAGGCGAAGCGCAGGTACTGCTCGAACTCCGTGCGGTCCACCTCGCCCAGCAGCTCCTCGGGCGGCAGCTGCTCCAGCTGGTCCCGGCACGGCGCGGCCTCGGGAGGCGGGGATGGCTGTCCCACGGGTCCCACCGGCCCCGGTGGCAGCGGCGGGGGCGGGCCGCGCCCGGGGCCAGGCGGCTGGCACGCCTGCCCGTAGTACGCGTGCAGCGGCGCAGGGCAGCCCAGCAGCCCCTGCAGCGACCCGCCCGGCCCCAGCGCCTCGCCGGGCGCCAGGTGCCGCCGCAGCGACGCGCCCGACGGGCTCTCGCCCGCCGCAGGGTACTCGGCGGCCGCCGGGTGCGGGCCGTAGCCGTAGGGCACCAGCGCGCACTCCTCCTGCAGCCCCGCCGCGAAGAAAGGCGCCTCGCTCTCCGCCGCGTCCAGCGGCGACGGGTCCGGCGTCGGCAGGCTGTAGCCGTCGAACGCGGCGCCCAGCGGCGGACAGTCCCGGTAGTGGCCCGCGCCCGCCGCCCCGTAGCCCTGCTCGGCGTAGGGCAGTCCCAGCCCCTCCACGCACATCCTGCCGCCGACGCTGCCGCCGCCGCCGACCTCGCTGCCCAGCCCGGGCCCCGCCGCCGCCGCCGCCGCCTCCGCCAAGCCGTGCTGCAGGAAGCCGCTCTCCACCCGCTTCAGGCGCTTCACCTGCTTCCGCCGCCGCGGCCGGTACTTGTAGTTGGGGTGGTCCTGCATGTGCTGCACCCGCAGCCGCTCCGCCTCCTCCACGAACGGACGCTTCTCCGACAGCGACAGCGCCTTCCACGATTTACCTGCACCCACCAACACCGTCAGACCGGCCGCCCACCGGGGCGCACCCGCGCCCGACACCTCCGCCCCCGCCCGCAGCCCAGACCCCGAGCCTCCCAGGTGCCCGCTCCTCGCCCTCGGACCCGCCACCTCGGCACCTTCTCCACATCGGGACCCCCGGCCCGACAGCCCACGGGTCCCCCCGCTCCCTGCCCGCAGCCCGAGCCCCGAGTCCCCCCGGGCTCCCGGTTCTCGCGGATCCATCCCGACGGGGCCCCACTCCCGCCCGCCCGCGCTCACCCAGCATCTTGCTGAGCTCGGCGTTGTGCAGGTCCGGGTTCTGCTGCGCCAGCCGCTTGCGCTCGTCTTTCGCCCACACCATGAAGGCGTTCATGGGGCGCCGGATCCGCGCCTCGCTCTTGCTGCGGCCGCCCGCCGCCCCCGACGACGGCGCCGCCTCGCCCTTCGCTTTCGCCTCGCCCAGCGGGCTCAGCGACTCTGTCCACGGGCACATGGCCGGCATCATGATGGGCAGCGAGCACCGCCCCTGTGCCTGGTCGTCGCTGCTGGCGTAGCCCGCATCGGGGCTGCTCATGGCGGGACGGGCCGAGACGCGCCGTCGATCGCTGCCGCCGCCAAGGCCGAGCGCTCCGGCGGGGCCACGGGACGGCCTCGGCACTCGGACCCCGCTCGCTGCTGTTGGGACGGGCGCCCGGGCCGGCTCTATTTGAGCTGCGGTGCGGCCAATGGGGCCGCGGGGGCGGGCGCGCAGCCGGACAGCGGCGGTGGCTCCCGCTGCGCTGCGGGGCGGCCCTCGGGGCTCCTCCCGGCGCGGCGGGGTCCGGCGGGGCCCGGTACCTGGGCAGGTCGGAGCCGCCCCCTCTGCTCCCGCTATGAGCTGCCCCCTGGGAACGGCGCGGAGATACTTGCATGCACGCTCCCGGTCTGGCAGTGCAGCACCGCGTACAGGGAGAAGCTTCTTCCCAGCTGACTGCCACTGTCACTGCCCTCTGCTCTCTGTGCTTTTCCTCCTTGGCAAGTTGGTTTCATTAAATCACGACATGTTCAAAATTCAGCCGACTCTCTGTTCATCGGAACATATAGAAAGACTGTGAGGAACAATGCTGTTTGTTTTCCCTAAAAAAGGGCGTCGGAGGGGTTTTTAAAATCGTTTTTATTACTGTCCTACTACCATCATTGTGAGCATGGTCCTGATAAATGGGATATTTTCTGCAACTGTAATAAATCTTCCAATTTCAGCTAATATTCGATCGTATTTTTATAGTGCCGAGGACCCTATTTCTCTATGCGTACCTTGGAAGGTATGTTACCAGTGCCATATTTCATGCAGGATGAATGCAAAGTTTGCTCATAAACGAGCAGTTGTGTGACCTGCAACCTTGGCATGACCTGGGATGTGTTTCTCGGAGCACTTTCTGTGCAGTGTACAAGCTGAAAGTATCCATGCCTTGATACATGCGATTACAGCTCCTTATTTGAATAGAAAGGGTGTGAAGTTATAGGTAAAATAAACAAAGCCACCAAACAAAAAATCAGCAATAACAACAACAAAAACTAATAAATCATCCTTCATCAGTTAAGTTTGCCGGTCATTAATGCCTTTTTTTGCACCCAATAAAGCATGCTTTTCCGTGCCAGCCTATCTCCACCAAGTGTAGCAGGGGGCTGGACCGGGCTCCCTCCACACACTGCAGTAACCCTCGGGCGGGAACGGGGGCAGGAGCACCCTCGGGGAATACTCCTCCTCTCTCCAGCAATTCATATCGGAATTAAGTCATCCTACAGTTTCTTTCACGGTACCTTTGTGTTCGTGTTTTGCTTGAAGTCGAGACTGTATAATTCTATGTTAGTTCTTAACAAAGTGCAGCACTAAGGCAAGTTATTAATCCTTCATCTTCTTCATAGGTATGGAACCTGGAAAAGTGAACGTAAATGCTTGTAGGCTGGGAAAAGTTCGGGGGACAGAATATATACTCGGGAAACAATCCTTTCAATGATAATGATGTCAGCCTAAATTTGAAATCATTCCCCTCAGACAGAAGTTAGCTCAGTATTGCAGGAAGTAATCATAGACTAGTTTGGATTGAAAGGGACCTTAAAGACCATCTACTTCTAAGCCCCCCTGCCATAGGCAGAGACATCTTGCAGTAGACCAGGCTGCTCAAAGCCCTATCCAACCTGGCCTTGAACACTTCCAAGGATGGGGCATCCACAACTTCTCTGGGCAACCTGTTCCCATGTTTTACCACTCTCGTTGTAAAAAACTCCTTCCTTCTAGCTAATTTAAATGGACCCTTTTTTAGTTTAAAATTACTTTCCTTTGTCCTATCACGATATAGAATACCTTTTCTGCTCTGGTTTGTACCATGCACGCACAAAAAAAGAGGATCACTTGTATTCCTTGGATACACATTTTAAATTTCCACAGTACAAAAACTAGGCAGCTAATTCCCTGCTGTAACTTGGAGTAGGATTTTTGAGAAAAATTTGGCATCCTCAAGGACAGCGGCGACTGGAACTGTTTTACAAGCCCTCATTGATTTTTAGTGGGCTGTCTGCGAGCCTGGAGCCGCACTGTTGCCCTTCCTGGCCGCCTGCGCGAAGGCCCCCTCCCCTTATTTCACTTCTCCATGCCCACCACCGCACTCTCCGTTCTAGCTGTTGGCAGCGGGACACAGAGGCCACTGCGGCCTTTCCTGCCCGAGGCTGCCGGGAGGGCGGTAGCGGCGGCGGGCTGCCCCGTGGAACACCCACCCACAAGCGGGCTGCGCCTCCCATACCAGCCCGATTAAGCCGGTAACTGGTGCCCGCTGTCCCTGCCCAGACCGTTCCCTGGAGATGGGTGCCGAATATTGAACAGGAGACACCCGATCTCCGAGTATGCCGTAGGTTTTACTCAGCAGACACGAAATGGGGCAGTTGAGAGCTGACCGTGTCAAAGCACCGGCCGCCGAGCAGAATCACGCGGCGACGTGAGTTGCACCTCGTAGTTCATTCACACCACGTAACAACCTGACATTGTGAGTTTATAGGGCTTGTCCCCTAAAACAGCTCCACCGATCGTCATAGCCATCAGCAGGCTTCTTGAGTACGAGTGGCTTCCGAGCGCTCAAGCTAGAGATTCAACAGTACAGAAAGGACATTAGGAGAGGCGGCAAACAAATCACATACTCGTCAAACAAACAAACAAACAAAAAGAGTGTCTTTGAAACGAGTTTCGGAAATAATACAAGCATGTAGTACCACTCGATCTTCATCTTTGGGACGTCACAAGCACCTATGGGACCCTGAAATCCGGAATACGAACAGGGTTAGTGTCAACAGCAGCGAGGTCCAGACGGTTTTGCAATCCTCGAAGCAGGCAAGGGAAACAAATAACTTACCTTTCTGTGAACCAGCGCAAACGCATTCATAACCTGTCATTTTACAGTATAGAAACTGCTTATTCTTTATGGTAGTAATTTTATTTTTTTTTTCTTCAACGGGTGTGGGCTTTGAGGGTTTTCTCCCCAACCTAATGTACAAAACCGAGGATAGATTTAGCAGCATCCACAGTAGAAGGAAGTCAGCAGAAACAAGGGGAATTATATTTGCCCTGGGACAGGATTCATATCTGAGGTGAAATCTCTTTATGCCACGGACCTCCCGAGCAAATAATTCAGGGTAAAATCATACACTTAAAGTATTACAAAGCCGCAGCTCGCGAGAAGCCTTGGCTGATCAGAGCACTGTGTTGGACACACAGACAGCTGCCGTATTTAAGAGCCTCTCTCCAAACAGAGAGAAGGTGAAAGAGACTCCTGTCTTTGTAGACGGAAAACTGAAGCAGGGCAATTGAACTCTGATCTCGCAGGCATTTAATTAGTCAACACATTAATTGTCTGTTTAACGTTAAGCAAATGTGGGCGTGTAATTAGCGGAGTACAGTCCTGTTCATCACACGCATCACTCGGTGCAGCAGTACAGTGCAGTCAGCCACCTGATGACAATAGCATCGCTTGCCACAGGGTTGCTGGTGCCCTGTCGCTGCCAACCCGCGCCAGCCGTGGTTGCTCGGCTGGCTGAGGTTTGCTGTGCAGACCCCGTGCGGGCGTGCAAACAGCGGGGGTTTCTGTGGTCCCTTCACAGGCAGTGTGAACCGCGGTGGGGGGACGGGGGAGGTATTTATTCCAAAACAAGACTGGAGTTGCCACATAAGTAAACTGAATTTGTATACAAGGTGAAATTGTGCAGCAGCATTGCTGCTAATATCTTCTAGCTATTGCTGTCTTTCTAGATGGAAAGGCATATAGCTACCGAAACGGACAGAAATCCGCTAAGTTAATGTTGTGTTTTCAGAGCACAAGACCACTGCTTCCTGACATTTCCAGTCCCACCTACTCTGCATTAAGGAGTGTGTTCTTATTCTCTCCCCCTGTATTCCCGGCCACCTGCTCCGACGAACCTTGAACCGGCTTTAATTCAGCACTTTGGTCCTAAATCTCTTTTTCTCACATTAGGCCTACTTACTTTTCCACCCAAATACCTAAAAAAGAGAGAGAGCGCACACACACACAAAGACCACCAAAAAAACCCCAAAAATCAACCAAACAAACCCGCTGAAAAACCTACCCCTCCTCCAGTTGCAGTGTGACCCAAACGTAGGACATTTGGCTGTGGTAAGAAGATCGAAACGTAACTACGGACCTATTGAAACATGGCGAATTAACAAGAGGGGACAACCCCCCGCACATATACACAAACAAACAAACAAAAATATATTAATACGTCTTGGGCATAAGTGTCTTGCTTGAACTTCAGAGAGCACTCCTGTGGGAAGGGTCCTGGAGGTGCTGCCCAGCTAATGTGTGGAGAAAGACAGTTTTGGTAAGGTTAGAGAGGCATTTGCAGATGTCACCCTGTCTGCGTGGTTTACTTGGAGCAAACCAGAACCGCGGTTTCCAGGGAGAGAGAGTACTGCCCTGGGCGCAGTGCCGGGATCGGAGTGCCAGTGGCAGACCCCGACTCTGCCCGAGGACTGCGGCAGAGCAAGGGGACCAGGAGGCACCTCGATCTGTGGCACACACAGCCTTCTCCACAGCCCCACCCCGAGGCGCGTAACAACTGTTTCCACCACCTGACAGTGAGAACCGTGCCGCGGAAAACACTACGAAAGAGAATTAATGAGTTTGGAGTCCTTTTAATGTGCCTATTGTCACAGGTATTCATGGGGCGTGAGGAAGGTCTGAAGTTTACCAAAGGGCTACAGGGCAGATGTGGTTGTCTGTCATTTAGAACTGGAGAGTCAAGACAATTTAGAGAAAATAGGGTTTGAACAGAGCTTCAGAAAATTTTGCTTCGAGTATGTTTGTAGTACTTTAACCTGCCACGTTTCAGACATGTTAAAGAAGTTTCAGACAGTTCTTCTCATATGCAGAGGATAAAAAAAAGCTACACATCTGGCTGCATACAGGAAAATAATACTTCTTAGATTTGAGTCTGCAAGAGCTTTGTGCAAAGAATGGTTATAAGATCTGCCCATCTTCCCCCCACATTGTTTGGCACACTGTCGTGCTGGCCATTCCTTTTACTAAAAACAGTATATTTATTTCAATTTAATGCAAATCACTTCCGGTAGTGGGAGGGGGATTAAAATGTTTTCAACCTTTGTCATGACCACTTACAGTGTCAAGTCCACTTCAGGTTTCTGCTATCTGACACGTTGATATGAAGGACAGAGGAGGGGAGCAAAACATGCCTCTTAAAAAAAAAAAAAAAAAAAAAAAAAAAAAAGTAATGGTGTCTAGACTTATCAAAAGCATATTGATTTATTTCCAAAACTAAAGTGATTTTCTCTCAGAAAGCTGTGAATGTGTGCTAAAAGGGCAAAAATAATTTAATCCTGTAGGTTAAAACCTCATAATAAAAGGAAAACTCAACCAATAAGAAACACCTCTGATGCATATTTATTTACTGGCTTTAAGCATCTATGTTATGAACATGTAATAATTGTTTTCAAATTAAAATATCAAGAAAGGATCTTAATGTCCTTCTTCTGAGGTAGCACCTCATTCAGAATTACGTCATTTCCCACGTGTACATTTGGGAGAGGAGAGGAGAGGAGAGAATGGCAGGATAGGTATATCTCTGAGAATTCAAGACTGTTTGCAGAGTAAAATGGGAAAATTAAGACACTTGAAGGTAGACTTTTAGGAAATATGAAGGGTCTAGATGCTTTTCAACGTAAGACTCACAGTATACGATTAATAAGTGGATTTTTGCCAAAGAGGCTGTGCTCAATGCTCACTAAAGCCGTTTGCATCTATTTTATTTTTCGTGAGTACAAATAAATGCCTCTTTAATTGTAATTTGAAAACACACCCAATTTAATTTCCCGCCCTCGTGGAAGACAGATTAATCAGTGAACAAGTCTGCCACTTCGGCCCTGGTCCCCTTCTCCCTGGGGCTCAGTTCCACAGCTTTATCTTAGAAAGCAAACGACCCAGATGACTGTTTACCTCCTCCCCCTCATTTAAGCAATAGACATAATTAATTTATCAGTCCCACCCAACAGCCAGACTCAGCACCAACATCTATATGAAAACGTCTTCCCGCCCATACTCCCCCCAGCCATGGAAGTTTAACTGCGGGGTGCATATTTCTCAAGCACAAAAATTTTTCTATCTATAGGCGCTGTGACATAGACCAAGGGATTTCTTTAGGAGAGAAAGAGTAAGATTCTGGAGATAGGGTTGAAGGTTCTGCTCTGTCTGGTTGCCGAGTGGGCTGCTCCTTGCCGGCCTCCCCCCTTAGGGGCTCGTGTCGAATTTTTTCACCTACTTTGAATCCTGATTTACAGCACTCGTTCGCAGCGAAGATCTGCTATCGTCCCTCCTCACCCCCCTCCCCCGTCGCAGCAAAGGCAGCTACAGAGACACGAAAAACGAGGAAGTGCTTAAACCAGCGCTTATCTGACCGTTTCAGCCGCTGTTCTTAATAGCATCAGTGTGTTCCCTATTCCATTAAAAACAGACTCAGACCCAAATGTACATCGGGAGGAGTTTTCATACAGTTTTTCTACACTTTAAAAAAGGGGGTAAAAAAAAGAGAGAAAAAGGTGATTTTTAGTTCAGTCCTAATAATCAACTATCTAAGAAAACACCAGTAAAGTTAAAACAAACAAACAAACCCCAACAAAACAAACAGAAAACCCCAACTGCCTGGAGTAGCCAGTTTCTGAACGTTTAAATTTTTTGTCTATCATTAACAGGAGAGACGACTACATCTACAGAAAGTGTGAGAGGACCTAATGCTTAGTGCAAGAAAGACCTGCACTTAATTGTGAAATTAATCTAAAAGGCAGTAACAATTAATTACAAAGGTCGATAAGATCTCTTTGAGGAGATATCAGAGACCAGTTTTATTATTTTCCCTTTATTTGTAAAAGTGCAAAATTATTCTGTACAAATCCATCATATAAAAATCAGCACTCTGTAAAATATACAAAAGCATATGGATCTCTAACAAGATCTCAGAAATTGTATTCCCCGTGAGTCACTAGTATCATGATTACACATCGGAAACAGTTCTACATATCACTGTCGGACAGTGATGGTAAGACCTGCACCACCTGGACAGAGAGAGGGCGCATGGCCTTTTAAACCTCAAGCACGTCACAGATACCCTGTCAGTTCTCAAGATTCAAATAAATTACATAAATAGGAGAGGGGGCCAAGCGCCTCTCTGCCAGTCCGTGCCGTGCCCCAGACAGTCCCTCACACGTCGGGGTAGCCGCAGTAGTACACGGCGCTGCTGGCGTCCGAGACGGCCGACGAGATGGGACCCGAGCCGTCGGGCGCCGCCAGCCCGGCCGCGTCGTGGCCGGTGAAGGGCAGCCCCAGCTCGGGCTTGCAGGCGAAGCGCAGGTACTGCTCGAACTCCGTGCGGTCCACCTCGCCCAGCAGCTCCTCGGGTGGCAGCTGCTCCAGCTGCTCCCGGCACGGCGCGGCCTCGGGAGGCGGGGATGGCTGTCCCACGGGTCCCACCGGCCCCGGCGGCAGCGGCGGGGGCGGGCCGCGCCCGGGGCCGGGCGGCTGGCACGCCTGCCCGTAGTACGCGTGCAGCGGCGCAGGGCAGCCCAGCAGCCCCTGCAGCGACCCGCCCGGCCCCAGCGCCTCGCCGGGCGCCAGGTGCCGCCGCAGCGACGCGCCCGACGGGCTCTCGCCCGCCGCAGGGTACTCGGCGGCCGCCGGGTGCGGGCCGTAGCCGTAGGGCACCAGCGCGCACTCCTCCTGCAGCCCCGCCGCGAAGAAAGGCGCCTCGCTCTCCGCCGCGTCCAGCGGCGACGGGTCCGGCGTCGGCAGGCTGTAGCCGTCGAACGCGGCGCCCAGCGGCGGACAGTCCCGGTAGTGGCCCGCGCCCGCCGCCCCGTAGCCCTGCTCGGCGTAGGGCAGTCCCAGCCCTCCACGCACATCCTGCCGCCGACGCTGCCGCCGCCGCCGACCTCGCTGCCCAGCCCGGGCCCCGCCGCCGCCGCCTCCGCCAAGCCGTGCTGCAGGAAGCCGCTCTCCACCCGCTTCAGGCGCTTCACCTGCTTCCGCCGCCGCGGCCGGTACTTGTAGTTGGGGTGGTCCTGCATGTGCTGCACCCGCAGCCGCTCCGCCTCCTCCACGAACGGACGCTTCTCCGACAGCGACAGCGCCTTCCACGATTTACCTGCACCCACCAACACCGTCAGACCGGCCGCCCACCGGGGCGCGCCCGCACCCGACACCTCCGCCTCCGCCCGCAGCCCGGACCCCGAGCTCCTCCCAGGTGCCCGCTCCTCGCCCTCGGACCCGCCACCTCGGCACCTTCTCCACATCGGGACCCCCGGCCCGACAGCCCACGGGTCCCCCCGCTCCCTGCCCACAGCCCGAGCCCCGAGTCCCCCCGGGCTCCCGGCTCTCGCGGATCCATCCCGACGGGGCCCCACTCCCGCCCGCCCGCGCTCACCCAGCATCTTGCTGAGCTCGGCGTTGTGCAGGTCCGGGTTCTGCTGCGCCAGCCGCTTGCGCTCGTCTTTCGCCCACACCATGAAGGCGTTCATGGGGCGCCGGATCCGCGCCTCGCTCTTGCTGCGGCCGCCCGCCGCCCCCGACGACGGCGCCGCCTCGCCCTTCGCTTTCGCCTCGCCCAGCGGGCTCAGCGACTCTGTCCACGGGCACATGGCCGGCATCATGATGGGCAGCGAGCACCGCCCCTGTGCCTGGTCGTCGCTGCTGGCGTAGCCCGCATCGGGGCTGCTCATGGCGGGACGGGCCGAGACGCGCCGTCGATCGCTGCCGCCGCCAAGGCCGAGCGCTCCGGCGGGGCCACGGGACGGCCTCGGCACTCGGACCCCGCTCGCTGCTGTTGGGACGGGCGCCCGGGCCGGGCCTATTTGAGCTGCGGTGCGGCCAATGGGGCCGCGGGGGCGGGCGCGCAGCCGGACAGCGGCGGTGGCTCCCGCTGCGCTGCGGGGCGGCCCCCGGGGCTCCTCCCGGCGCGGCGGGGCTCGGCACCCGGGCAGGTCGCTGGGTCCGGCGCGGGCAGCGCTGCCCCCACCCCCATGGGACCCGTGGGGGTGTCGTTCCGGGGACGGACAGCGCGTTGGTAAGCGGCACTCGGCTTCAGCCCCGCTCTCCGCGGTGGCAGCAGAGACCTGCCCACCGTGACCGTGCCCTACCCGGTCAAACACACCAGAAGTGGCCATCCTTGAGCAAAGCAGACACGAAAGGAGTGAAAGGGACAGATTATTTCCATTCTTGGCGAGATACACTGAGAGCCATAAGCTTCTTCTGTAGGCAGGTTTGAAAGGTAGCTTCGGAACAATAAGCCAAGTCATCATCTGTGTCTCACACTTCATCTTCTTACCCCCTTGTGCTACCGTAGCATATTTCACCTCTTAAGCCCGTGAAACATAGGAACTGTGTGGGACAGTAGGAAAATGAACCCAGAGTAAAGCCTATGAAATATATCCTATCCCACTTTTTCATAGCTCTTAATAAATCTACTCAGTGTCTGTCAAATATTTTTTGTATGTAGTTATTATTCATAAGTTGAACTTTGAAGTACATATTGCTTGCTGCATTTCCTTATCATTCTTCTGCATTACCTTCTCTCATTTGCATGAATAAATAAAACATAAGTACAAAAAGATGTTTGTAAAAAGTCCATCACTTCAGAATAAATAAAAATTCTATCTCCGTGCCATTTATGTTCTTCTTTGGCATACAAACTAATGTAAAATACGACGTTTTAACTGGCACTGTGGTTAATATTTGCATTGTTTTGAGGTGCTATTAAATGCATCAATGCTTATTTGAGAAACTGCTGAGCTTTACACTGAAGATCAAAGAGGTTTATTTAGTTAAGGACACCTTTGTTTGGGTAACCACTTCGATCAAATAAACCAATATTGTAAGAATTCTCGCCGAAATTAAATTAATGAATCCAGAATCACCATTAACTTATTCTAACATTGAATTTCCTGTTTCGCACAACGTAAAGACTGCTCCTTTACACTTGACAGGCAGCAGATATTCCTAAAAGAACTAAAACGCCGGGGCGAACGGGAGCTGCCTGGGACTAACGCCGGGCAAGATAATTCTCGAGGCATTTCTGCATTCATACTTTCTGCTCTACTCTATTTCCTAGAGAGTATAAACAAGTGATATGATTCCAGCCTAATGGTATGCTATATTTAGCGTTTTTGCGAAGAGTCGAAATCATCACCAGAAAGCTAGTATCTACCTAAACCAAATAAAAAAAAAAAAAATTAATTTTTTTCCCCTTTCAAACACACACCCTAGTCCAACACAACGAGAGGCAGCGATTCAAACAGCCTCGCTTTTTTTCCTGATATCAGATGCTGTAAAAAGCAGTGGAAGTGAAAACAGTGATCCTACACACGTGTGCAGAAATTGATCTCATATTAGTATGTAATAACACCATTCTTGCAAAAGTATTTTGCATTTTAAATTGACTGTAAAATAAATTAACTGGGACATACTGCGCTTTCAAAGATGACCAGCAGCACAGAACCGGCGATAACCAGGGGAGCTCGTTAGGAATAAAGTACTTTCCCCCTCATTTTTAGCCCAGCACCCATGGGACACTACCTTAGGGCGTAACTGGTTAAGGCTGGTGTACTAGTGGCTTTAGTTTTATGGTTGAGGTTCTGATATTTCCCGACGCGAGGTGCCGGGACTCAGAGCCCTCAATCCCACGCCGGCTGCCTCGGGACAGGTTATGCACGGAACCATGGCCCATACCCGGAGAAAATTCTGAATTAAACAGAATCTGAATAGTATTTGAAGAAAACTCACTCGGGAGGAAAGTCTGTGTAGTTTTCTTTGTAGAGAACAGAATACTCAGCTGAGGGGATAAGCAACATGACTTCCAAGCAAACCAAAACCCCAGAAGGCAAAAACGCGCTGATCTAAGGGAGCCAGTCCGTTTACAGTGATTCCCAGAGCAGTTCCCAGCTCACGCCTCATTTCTGACTAGGACAAGATTGACAGACTAGAAATTTAAAATGGAGGAGAGAGTATTACCTTTTTTACCAGGTGCTCTTGTTAAAACGCCAAATTCTCCCTTTCACTCTAATTTGCAAAAACATTTTCATGAGCGAAGGGAACAATCCTGCAAGGACTTGTATTGAAAAAGTTCAGCGAGTAGAGGCACTGCTTACAAATAAAGTTTACAGCGATTTTTGGGGCTATCACTTTCAGCAGAAAAGAAAATGTTTTTCTATATAATGAACATGAGGTAATAAACTAAGTAAACTGTCGCTGACTTTGGTTGGGAGATTTGTTGAAACTGTTTCTACAGTTCATTGATCTGGGATCAAAGAAAGAAAGGTGTGTTTTGAATCTAAGCCGAGAAAGTAAAAGCTCCCTGGTTTGTACAGAAAATGTTGGCAGTTTGTGACCCTTTCAGTAACCCTAGTGTCATAGATAAATTATCTCACCTCTTTCCTAGATTTTTGTTTTGACTGTTTAGGTATTTTAGAATTGTAACTTTAAACACAGAGCACGGCACTGCCTGTGATTCCACCCTCACTCTTTGCTTAGAGCTCGCTTTCCCGTAGAGTTTAATAGACAGCTTCTTCTGACACTCCTGAAACCTTCGTGGTCGCACGACTCCTGGGGTCATTCGTTAACTTTCCCAACCTAACAATGCCGCCGAGAGTTCATCCTTCTGATTTATTGACCTTTTAAACCCACTGGTACACAGCGCAGGGGCGCGGAGCGGGGATCCTCCGGCGAGAGATGTGTTTCTATTTCAGGTCCATTACAGAATGCGGTGTTGGAAGTGGTGCTCCCAGCGTTATCAGAGCCGACCACAAATGCCACATGAAAAGCAGCAAACATCCGGAGGGTTTCCTGCAAATCGAGCAGTTTCTCAAGACAAGAACTTTTTTTTTTTTTTTTTTTTTTAAGTGTATTTAAAGGCAACACGCTTTGCCTCTTTAAAGCAGTTCAAAACCACTAAGTGAAAGCAGCCCAGCCTGACAGTGCTGCAAAGTGCAAGAAATCTCCCCGAATGAAGACTTTTAGGGAGTTTGCATTAGGAAAGTGCGTGGATTGCAAAGGCCCTGTTCAGGAATAATCCGCTATTGACTGGGAAAAAAACACCCCCAAAATGAAAAATGTCCCTTTGAGAAACTCCATCGAAACAGCATTAATTATTGTACAGCAAAGGAACAGTCCCTAACATTTAAAAAGTGTTTTTTTTCGCATCTGCCTCACTTTAATCTGCAAATTGCTTTCTAGCAAACGCACACACACAAAAAAGAAAGCTCACACTGCCTGCAGCACCCGGAGCGGGGCCGCGTCGGTGGAAACACGTCCCGGGGCCGCGGGCTTGGCAGCTGCGGGAAGAGACAATAGGCTGTGGGACGGCACGGCCCCGCACAGTGAGCTGCCGGCATCTGTGCGCGGCCGCTTTGCGGGGTGTACGCGCATTTTAGGACTGATGGGCGTCCGGAGGGGGGAGCGGGACGTACTGGACTCCCACTCCGAGGTAAGAGCCCTTTCGCCGCCAGGCGCACACGAGCGGGGTCCCCCCTGACAAGTCACCCGCCCCAGCCGGCAGGTTGGGGACGTGGCGGGCAGACTCCCCGCGCCCGACCCCTCTGCTCCCCGCTCGGCCCTTTCTCCCGGCGCTCCCCCTGGTTTTCCCTTGGGGAGGCCCTCTTTCCCGCAGCCCCCGTGATGCCGAGTTGAAGAAGGGAGAGCCCCGGCACCGATCAGACGGGAAGTCTGAAAGGGGCCAGCGAGAGGTGCCATGCATTTATCTGTACAGGAGCCCCGGGCTCAGCCGCAGCCAAATCCCCCGGGACCCGTGCAGGGATGACGGTGAGTGCCTTTAACCAGGCTCAGCCCTGAGTCTGGCGAGCTCACAGGAGAAGGGAGAGCCCTGGACCACCTATTTCCCTGATCCTTTATTCTCAATTCTCTAAGGAAATGCATTCTACATATATATATATACAGCTTGCAGTCTGTCAGTCCTTCAGCTACTTAGTGACACGAACCATGCCCTGTCATTGCACTGGTGGTCATAAAATTTCCTTATCTGAAGGAAATGGCTTTTCAATTAAGTTATTGAACGTTTGCATTAATGCTGAATTCCGATGGTACACATTCTGGAGGGCCTGCGGTGGAGGGGAGAGCCTCCACCATGCCTTCTCCTAGGAAGGAGTTAACTCTGCCACTAATGGGAATGCTTGGGGTTGGCTTTAGGGTGCCTGCAACGACTTCTCTGCTCCTGTCTGAAGGCATAAATCAAATGTATGGGAATCAATGGGAAATGACCTGTTTAACTGACACTAGAGCTAGGTACCCCTGTAATACCTATTCCAGACAGATAATACATGGACCCCAAAAACTTCCAATGAAGGCAATGGCAAATGCTTCTGAGTTTAAATAATATTGAAATTACATTATTTTTACAGAAGAAGCCTAGAAATGGCACTTTCCTCAAACTGCTAATGATATAATGTAGACCCAAGGTTCATCACCCATTCATATTCGTAAATTTATTTACTCCTTTAATATAAAGATCAATTAATGAGACTGAGGTCACAGAGCTGATGCATTTTCTTCTGTAAAATAAAATTCCAACAGTTGAATTACATTAGTTTCCAACTTCATTTCAGTTTCTGTGCCATTTGGTTTGAGAATGAGCTGCATGGGGCCACAAAGCTCTATGATAGCTGGGACCAGGTAGAACTCCCTACATTTGAATTTCCAATAACAGAAATCCTGTTACTTTTCATATGTGATTACATAAAAGTCATTTAAAAAAATAAAAACGAAAAATAGAATGCTTTACACAATGCTGGAGCCACTCCAAAAGATCAGGGATCTGAACAGAACTAAACAATTTGGCCTAGCCTCTGTTTGTATTTATGCTGGTTTTATGTCAGCAGAGCTCCTGCTAACTTTTACTACAGTAAGATTTATTCTGACATGCTAGATGTTAAAAGTGATGGCTTAGTGAAGGACAAGTCATGTAACTGTACAATTAAAAAGCTGATCCCAGTTGCATTGTAGTGAAACAAATTTTTTCATTGGCGTCACACAGCTTCCAGAATATCCTTAACAACACCAGAAGAATGGATGTCATGGATGTTCTTCAGAAGGTAGGCTATGCTACTATATATAATGCTACTGTAGTCTTGTAATATATATCTATATTTTGGATTTTTTTTTAGTAGACATAAATATTTCATAGTAATTTGAAAGTGTCAAGTTCTTTATCCTTACCCAGAATAAAATTTTTACATTATGCAAATGAGAAAGTAGCTGGGCTTGGAACTGGGCAATTACTTCCAGTATGCCAGTTACTTGTAAGTATGTTAGTAGTACTAATTAAATTACTAAATGACTAAATCCAAATGTCAGCAGCTTACCACCTGCAATTCTGCTGAATCATCGGTGATGAACAGGTAAGATCAGAGAGAAATTAAGAATGGATTTAAACTGTCAGCAGCACTAAAGATGAATAAAACCTTTTTCCAAGATAGACAATATGGTACATTTATTTTAAAATAAATTCATAATTCCTGAAATTAGAATTGTTTTAAATTACCTGTTCTATTACCTGTCCAAAAAGGGCATTCTTTATAATGAAGACATAGGAATACAAGATTTGATCCTGTTTTTCAAAATAAAATACCAAATTGTTTAAGGTTGTAATTTTAAAAAGTGCCCAGTGGAAACACGCTTGATTTTCATCATATAAAAGGCTTGAGAAATTAATTTGGTTTCATTTCTTGATAGTACAGCTGTTCAGTTTTATGATATTTATTTTCTTTGAGTACTCCTAATGCAAAAAATTTAATTTTCATATTCATTATTTTCATATTAATTTATTATTATTAAAATCCCAATTATGTCCCATTTAAATATTATTTAAAGCTGTAGATTATAACAAAAAGACATCTTTACTTCTTCCAAATCCAAAGCATTCAATCTGATCACTTTTCCAGCATTATTCAGAAGGCTTTCATTGACACACATCTATCTACTTACTCTACTGAGCACAGTGAACTCTACAATTTCTCTGCTTAGAATCCATTAATATTCAATGTTCTGAACATCTTTGACTACCACTGAACCATGAAAGAGAAGGAAACAGCCCCTCATTGGATCATACCTGGTACAACTAGTAACAACATAAAAAAGGCAACTGAGCTTCACAAACCTTCAAGCTAAGTTGAATAATGCCAGTTGATGGGTTTTTTAATTCAGTCATTATTACTTGGGCTTGAGATATATTTAGAATTATCTAGCTGCAGTTCAGGATTTACAGCTTTTTCACTTGTATGGCCTGTTTCTGTTTGAGCAAAACCCAAGGCTGAAAGTCTCCATTTCTCCTGCTCTGTCCCCTTAACATCACCTTTTTATCTTCACAACACCCTTTGAAGGGTATTTACTGAAAGGATGAGAGAGAGGTTATCACACAGAACGGAAAAGTTAAAAAGGAAGACCCAAGAATTTCAATAAACTTACTCTGTAGCCAGATCAAGGACTGGAGATCCTCACACCCACAGCAAACAACCTGCAAGATCTGAAACAATTTCTGCCTAGCTATCTCCAGTTTACCAGTTCCACTAAGATACAATGTCTGTTCTAGATGTAAATGTTGCATGAACATTCCATTTACAAACCCTGTTTAAATGAGAAATTTAATGATCTTTTCAGCTTTTAAAAATTCAGTCGAATCTTCTTTAGGAGAGGGTAATGTAGTACCTACATGTACTACAGTGCTGACGGACCTCTACCATTAAAACATGGAGAGGTTTGAATTAATAAAGCAAGGTGGTTTACTAGGGAGTTTTTATTTCTGGTCTTACATTTGTATAAATATCCTTGCTATAAAAGGACAGCATATTCACGCTTCTTTGATTCAGACCAGCATCCTACAAAAAGTAAAGGTAGGAAGATGTTCAGCACAGGATAAAATGAAAAATGCCTAAGAAATATTAACCAACTACACTGGCTGTATACAAAGGCCAGAGTTGGAAATGAAGCACACCAAAATTATTTGACACAACTGTAATACCTATATTTCCATAGGCATCTCTTTCCAGCAGTCTCTTAGCCTTCCCTCCCAGCTGGTGAAAAATGGCAAGGTTTATATTGCAAGCCCTATTCTACTTTATATACCAGTACATGCAGGTGCTTAAGTACCGTGACAGTCCATCTGAAAATAAAATCTGAACTAAGACAACCCAAGACAACTAGATAGTTCAGTTGATAACCACTCAACCACTCACCAGAGGGAGCCCATTTTCACTTACTATCTTGCTGGGCCCTCTGAACTACTCTGCAAAAAACTCTACAGCTGCCAGCTAAGGAAGCCACACAGACATATCATGAACAAGAAAGGACAGTGTAAAGGATTTTTGTATCTGATTGATTAATACTTTCTACAGCTCAAAAGGTTCTTTACTGAAGAAGTTGCTGTATTTACCTTTCAAAAAATCTTATCTTTTCAAAAGAAAAATAAGTTTTTTTAAAGGAAGACACTTCTCACTTTACCTTATCTCAAGGGGAAGAAGCAACCTTCTAAAATATTAGTTAACTCCCACGCATTCTTTAAAGTCCAATTGAAAAACTTTAGCAATATAATTTGCATTTCAACTAAGCACAGAATTAAGTCTGAGATCATGGTTAACGCTGGAACATGTCCTGTTCAGGAAGGACCTGCAGCTCCTTCCAAGGCCAAACTGTGTGCACACACAGTGTTTGGAACAGGGCATGATATAGAGGTCCCTTGGTAGTTTTCAAAACCTGACAGAGTGGCAAAAGTGGGGTTTTTGTTTGTTTGTTTTGCTGTTTTGTTGTTTGGTCTGTGTTTGTTTTTGTGGTTTGTTTTTTTTTTTTTTTTTTAATTAATCTTAGCCAGCTAAACACAAAATCCATTTAGTAGCAAAACTACCCTTCTGCCTATCTAAACAGGAAAACCTTGCTAGTGAAGATGTAGTTACATCAGCAAGCATGTGCATCTGGCACTAGAAGATTACCTACAGTTTCATATCTCCTGGTATCTGTCCTTTTTTCCTTCAGTATCATGAAATATTATCAAGTTGCTACTTTTGCTTCTAGTGTCTTCTTTGTTCTTCGTGTTTGTTTCTTAATTACTGATTAATACATTTCCCCAGCACTTTTCTTTTCACAGATACTGCTAGCCAGCAGTCAGTAGATGCCACAGCACAGACCTGAACTACTGATAAGTAAAAATCAAGCCCATTGATTATTTCCTTTCCACAGAAAGCAAATCCATCAGTGCAATCACTTTTAAAATTTCCTTTTCAGGTTTGCAACAGTGCAGCCACACATTTTTTGCCACTTGTCAGACTAATTCAATAGCAAAATCTGAGCAACAAAAATCTGATCTGGGTAAGTAATACTTGTACATAAGTTGATAATTAATAGCTGTACTAATTATTTCAAACTAATTCTTTGTCTTTTCTTTGCAGCCTGTATCTTCAGAAACATCCTGAAATGCAGTCAACTGATTTTTATTTAAAGGTGTGACTACAGAACTAAGGTGGGCTCTATCCCCAGTCTTTACAAGGGTTCTATATTAATGGGGACTCACTAGTCTGTCATAGATACTTAACACACCACTGGCTAGACACTAGCTTACCAGAACTTCACTGTACATCAGTGCCAAATTAATCTTAAATTGAAATAAGAAGATAAGATAAAGTTATTCAGTTACTAAATTACATACAGGCGTGAGTATGGAATCTGGAGAATCCCTTTGACAGGTACATGCAAGGTTTTTGTCTCAAAAGCGCTCTTACTGTTAGGCAAAAACAAAATGGTAAAATGTTCACTAGGTATTTTTTTACAATAAAGAGTTAAGTCACAGAACTTTATGTATTATGATTACTGATTTTATGCATGTGTTTATAAACTACAGCCTTTGGTGTCACTGGCTCAGTGTGAAATGGTTAGTAAGCATGCATTACTATTCCAAGCGAAAAATTACTGAAAGCTGTTTATCCTTTGCTAGAGATTTTCAATAAAATGGAAACGTAAAAAACCTGGATTTGAAAGCCAGTAGATTGTGATATATGTTCAGATTCTGTCTCAAGCAGAAGCAGAAGTTGACTTGCATGGCCCTTGCAGAAATACTTTCCAGGGCTTGCTGCGTGTGTACTTTCATATGTTGAATTCATTGGGTTAAAACCATTGTGATGATAAAGAGATGCATGACAAGTATTTTTTCTTATATCCCTATAGTAAAAAACTAACAGGGCTGCAGCAGTGAGTGATTAGATAGCTTCAATGGCACAGCTTAAAAAACTTTAAACATATTACTGAAGTATACAGTTGTCCAAGATGTGCACTTAATTAGCATTAAAAAAAATCCCTTTATTACACAGACAAGGATTCAGACTGCTGATTGTTGGCTGCTTTTACAAGGCATAGATTGTTATTCATCTTTACCCACACAAAAAGTGTTTATAGGTTCACATATATTTAATGTGATTTCATGCACAGAATAGCCATACATTAAGTCATTATTTATATAGTTGTAGGTCAGAATTCATACAACAGTACTGAAATAAGAGGTGAGTAGAAAGACATATCTGTTTCACAAAATTTGATGGTGGATACTGTGAAAAAATTACTCTCTCTGCTCGGCAAATATCAGTGATATATCTTAGTAAATAATTCATCAATTATATTTTTTAAGAAAGAATTTAAATAATAATGTGAATTAAACACAATACTTGGCACCAGAAGTAATTTGGACATATCACTGGGAAGATCACCAAGTGTTCAAGGTTACAATTTGAATTTCCAGCCAGAATCAATAAATCTATCCTAGTTGCTTTATAAGTGTAATACATTCACTAGGGATCATTTTCTTTCAAGAACCAATTATTATCCACTGCTCTGTTAAAAATAATTTAAAAATGGCTAACCAGCTTGAATCTTAGAATAAAAGTTGGATATGATGTCACTAGTATTAAGACCACTCAAAATCAATTCTATAAATTCTACAACAACAAACTATTAAACAACCAAAGTTCTCAATCCCAAGTGTTTAACTACTTTGTTTGTTTGTTTGTTTTGGTAAATCTAAGAGGAGGATCTCTCACCTGGTTCCAGTTCCATGGAATAACAGCATATTTAAACAGATGAATGGTCCAGGAAGGAAAAAGATGAAAACTACCATTTCAGACTATTTTCAAGGGTCTGCAACCAGGATCACAGAAGGAGCTGAAACTTCACCCCTTTGTCACAAGCTAAACCAGACATTATTTTAAATTGCCATTGTATTAAGAACTAAAGCAAGACACTGAGATACAACACTCCTTGAGAGTTCCTATGTGACTGAAACACTAGATGATCAATTAAAAGTCATGTTTATCAAGCCTCTGCTTACTGCTCTTACCTGGTAATTGAGGACATTCTGAAAAAAAGAATTCATACTTTTTTTTCAAACCTAGCTTTTTAATATCATCTCACTTCAGAGGGCATTTATATATTACTTTTTCACACTACAAATGCTTTACAAAGATGAGTCACTACTGCTAACACTGTTCTGGACCTTTGAAAACTCAAATGACAAACAAGTGTTCCAACTAACTTGTCTAAAGTTGCAGAAAAAGGCCATAGATCATGTGCCTGTCTCTTTTCCCTCTTGAGTTATAAGCACAATTTCATGTTGAACTTACAGAGACTGGTCTTAGATTCCCTTTCTCCCACCTTCCTGTTAAAACTCTGAGAGAACCAGAACATCATTAACGTATTTGTCTTTGGCAGGTGTCTAGTCAGGGATTTGCAGTAACAGGTCAATTACAGTCAGTTGAGAAGAGGGTAAATCAGTAGTCCAAAAGAAACTTAGTGGCGAGGAACCCAAACCTTCACTGCTACTGTGCATTCTGTGAGCTATTCTGGAACTACAGCTTAACTCTCCTTTCTTTTAAGCTAAATTACCTTTTTTCATATTGATCCTAGAAAACTGCCAAGTGGCAAATAGTATATATGGAACAAAAATCGCAGTATATTATATATATACATATATATATATATATATGATATATAGGATACAAATCAGTTCTTATTGCATACTACATATGATTACACAGCCAATATTAGTGAACCTATGTTTTTTCATTATTTTTACTACAAAAAGCACAATGGCAAGCTGAAGACTGATTTTAAGTAAGTACCAATATCTCTGATTGCAAGAAAAGAAAACTGGCAAATAATGAATAGTCAACTAAAGTTTCATGATTATTCTACTGCTGTCTAAGTACTGCTGACTAAAATTCCAATTAGATAATTTGTTTTGGCTTTTATAGTTTTGTTTACACATTGACTTCATACTGGCTCTTATCTTAGGATTTGAAATAGTTTATTAAAGATAAGTAGGAAGAATCCCCTGGAAAAAAATGTTGTGGTTTGTGGGTTTTTTCTTAATTTATTTTGCATTTTTAAGCTCTGGGTAGTCCCACTTGTGAATTACTAAACTACAGCTATGCCCCTTCTAAGGAACAACCACCTTCTTGTGACAAAGGTTCCCTTATATATAATTTGCATAGAAATTTTAAATCCTCCCGGGAAGGCTGAAAGTCGTCCCTTTTCTGAACCACTTGATATGAAATTTGATAGCAAAGACACATGAATTTTTTGTATATGCCAGAGTGTCCAGTATCACTAATGGGAAGGGATTTTTCAATAAATTACAGGCAGAAGTTGTTTTTGAGAATGGAGAAATTTTATTAAAGATACAAGAGTCACAGATGGATCAAATAATGATGTTACAGGAACAAATTAAGGAAACAGATTTATTGGAAGCAGCGAACAATGCAGACATGCCTACAGTGTGGAATACCAAAATTCCATGAAAATCAAAGTCAGCCAGTCCAGTTCAAGTAGAATTAAAAGAAACAGCTAGGTCAAAAAAAAAAATCCAGTGAAGAAGGAATCTTGAGAAGGAATTAGAAAACTGATTGATAGATTTTCAAAATGTAAAATTTTAGAAGAATGTGAATCTGAGTACAATAACCCAGCTATACCTGTTAAGAAACCATCAGGAGAATGGAGACTGGTAGCCATAAATTTGCAAGCCATAAATCCAATAGTGAAAGTTATTCATGCATTGTTGCCAATTCATATACATTATTAACAACTTTAAATGAGGAACATGGGTGGTTTACAGTGCTTGATTTGAAAGATACCTTCTTTTTTGTATACCTCTAGAAAAAGAGAGAGGAAACCTTTTTGCCTTTGAATGGGAAAATCCCTATACAGGATGGAAAACCCAATTAACTTGGACCAGACTGCCACAAGGATTCAAGGATCCTCCTACTATTTGGGAACCAGTTGGTGAAAGTAATAGAAGGATGGAAAAAGGAAATAAATCTCAATGATAATCACTTGGTATTACAATACGTGGACGATATTCTCATTGCTAGAGGAAATGAATGTAGTTGTATCCAGGTAATGATTGAACTTTCAAACTTTTTGGGTCAAAGAGCCTGTAAGGTTTCAAAAAATAAGGCTCAAACTGTGAAACAGACTATTGCGTATCTGGGCTTTGAGATATCCCAGGGCAGACACAATTGGGGATAAGCTGCAACGAGGCAATTTGTAAAACTGCTGAGTCAAAAGACATTAGAAAATTTCAGGCCATTTTAGGAATGTCTGGATGGTGTAGATTTTGGATTATGAACCATGGACTTCTAGCTAAACCACTGTATGAAGCCCTGAAAAGACTTCCTTTTGTGTGGAGACCAGAGGAGAGAAGAGCCTACCTAGACCTGAAGCAGTCTCTGATGACACCACCAGCTTTAGGATTGCTGGATTTAACTAAGAAGTCCCAGTTCTTTGTACACAAGAGACAATATGTTGCGTCAGGGTACTGATGCAATACCTTGGAAACTAGGAAAGGGATAGAAAATAATTGCACCTAAAATTAGAGGCAGAGGTAAATGACACAGTAGTTCATTCTATTACCTTGAAGGATACTGGTCAATGCCTGTTTTTTTGTTGAGTAAAGATGACTTATGTTCTCAACCACTTGAAAATAAGGAACAAAAAGGCCCAAAATATGAGTTCGTGTTAAAAAGTCCAAAACAAGAATTGATTTGTAAAGAATTTCAAACTTCAAGGCAAGGATGTTGTTTAGAATTAGAAAAAAGGGCAAGGAAATTTGATTTGCCAATTCTATCATTCAGAAAATGGAAGTCTCCAGAGAATAGAGCTGCATGTGAGAAATTATCACATTCTGTTTTAGCCAAAATTGGAAGATCTTGGAACATAGGATGGTGAACATAGGATGGTGTTCTTATGATGAACAAATAAAGAGAAATATGAGCCAAATGATCATGGAATGGAAATGTGATAAAACTATTGAAACACAGGGGAAGGAGACAAATTGGGACTCCATTTGGTCAATGACAATCTTATCCCAGTTTCAGTAGATGGCTAAGGCTTCTTGGTGTTTTACTTGGAATGGATTAGTCTTTACAATCAGACCAATTGTGGGTGATAAGGGAACTTCATACCTAGAAAACAAAAATCTAGTGTCATGGTGGAAATGTGAAAAGATTGTAGTACTGTTGATATGATTATTCAGGTTATTCTCCCTTTATCTGCTACTTTAAAGTATGGGTGTCTCTGCAGAGGCCTTAAAAACAGCCTCCAATTGACTGACAAGTATGCACCCAAAAGAGGAACTATATTTAGTTGCAGAAGATCTACAGTTAGGAGCCCAGGACACTTAGTTTGGTCATTAGTGATGGGACTTGGACAATTAATTTACCATTAGATGGTAAAATAAAGCAAATAACATTAGGCATGCCAACATCATGTCCAGAAAGATCCTTTTAAAGGAACATTAGAAAATTTGAAATTGAAACAGGTAAAAAGGTCAGAAGTAGATGAAGAATGGCATGAATGTTTGACTGGAGTGAAAACTGGCTGGATCTTGGAGTCTTTGCCTTTAGCAACATATAGGATTAGAGAATGGATATATTGACTTACAGGACAGGTAGAAAGGCTGGCAAATGCAACCAGAGAGGGATTCAAGGATGTAAATTAGCAGTTACAAGCAACTTCAAATATGATTTTACAAAATAAAATGGCTTTAGATATGCCCTTTCTCAAAAAACATGGTGTTTGTAGATATTTGAAAGACAGAATTGGTCATTGTTGCATAAACATTCCAAATGTGACACAAGATGTAGAACATGACTTGGACTTATTAGTAAATGTAGAAGAAATACAATCTTCAACAAGACATGCAAGAAAGTTGGATATATAAAATCTTTAGTGAACTGGGATGGAATCTGAGTTCGTGGGCAAAATCACTGATTAATACTGTATTACTCTTGTTAATAGTATTTTTAACAATTATTTTGATTTACTATTGATCAATGAAACAAATAAACAGTTGGACTGCATTGAATTGGATGATTATCCAAGCAGTGGCTAGACAAAAAATGAAAAGGAATTAATTCCAAGACTCCCACCAGCATATAATGAGTGAAATAGAGTATAGATGTAACATAAGCAAATTTTAGGATTATAATGAAAGTACTGAAATTATTTTCAAAACTTTCAAAGGGTGAAATGTTGCAAATAGTCTGATAAAATAATCAAGATTTGATCATATAGAAGTAGTTGCAATTAAAAGGTAGAAAATTGTGAAGCATGACGTATAGGATTATTAGGAGTGTTGTGTTTGAAGTATGCAACTACAGAAACCTCACCAAGAAGGTACTGGACCATTTGTGCTGGTTGGAACCCCCTTACCCTAACCATCATGATTTGAGTATCAAGGATTCCAATCAGTAGAGCTAAGTAAAATTGACCAGTGGTTGTTTTTAGAATAAAGTTATAAAACTAACAGAACCAATCATTGTGGAGGTTAAATTTAAGAAGGGACTTATGTAACAAAAAAGTATGTAAATGAATGGATTTTGTCGGTAAGAGAACATGTTTGGAGGAGTGATCCCCTGCGCTCTTAGCATGTTGAATAAAGAAATGTCTGCTTATTCACATCAAATTGATGTTGGATGTTTCCTTCATCCCATTTGGTGACACTCCTGCTCAAGCAGAGCCACTTAGAGCCAGTTGTCCACATTAGAGACTCCACAGCCTGTCTGAGCAACCTGTCATGGGGCAGACTAGTAAGCCCTAAAGTTCCTTCTATCCTTCAGTTTTCGGAACTTCAATGAAAAATTATGTTAATATTTATCTTTGACTTTAAAACCATCTTGCTAATTTTTCTTCATTCTATACTTAAATCCTTATTTTACCATTTCAATTTCATAATAAAGCTTTGTTCATTTATGAATTGAAAACAAAAACAAAAACAAAAATACTTTCTAAAATAAAATAGAAGACGTAAGTCTTTTACTCAGGAATTATGCAAACAAATAATCTCTCAGCAGTGCTCCCCTTGAGAAAACATTGTAACTGCTCAATTCTGATTTCGTATTGCACACTTTGATTATGCTACTTCTTCTTAGTTTGATTTTCAACCTCGTGCATAAATTACTTTAGTCCCATTCGTCAACCTTGCAATGAAGAGAAGGCAGGTGTTCCAGTCAGTTTTGGTATCAAATGCCTCATGAGCTATTTAATATTTCCAGTGAACAGAACAGACCAAATCTTCTGCACACACATATTACTTTGCTCACACAAAGCTGTGAAAAATTAATATTGAAAATTATAAGGGCTATGGAAAGTAACTATATACTGACAAGTTTATTTTTCAGATGAGTTTCAAGGATTTTTTTTGAACTCAAATGTTGGAGTTAAGGAAATTAAAATCAATACTCAAATTAGAAAACCATTTCAGAAAGAAAATGACAGAGATATCTTTCAAGGAAGCATACAGTTTCTTCCTCACTTTTAATAATCCGGAATCTCGTATGTTTAGTATTGACCTTGCAATTTATCTGTAGGTACATGACAGATCGCAGGTGATTAACATCTCTTCAAGCATCTCTATCCTACCACAGTTCTGCTTTAAGATACACTGCTACATCCTAGAATACCTTTCCTAAATAAACTCCAGAAGGTAAATACTTAAGACAATAGCAAATGAGGGGTGAATGAATGCAAGAACATCAAAGGTTCTCTGAGAGAGCTGAACCACAAGGGAAGCTTTGAACCCAGGTTAAAATGTCACAGGGTGCTACCTGAGCCCTGCATTTATCAATTTAATTCCTTCAGAATCAACAAATAAACTTTGTGACAAAGATAAAGAAAATTTAAATCTGTATTTCTTTCTTGAAGCTGTCTTTGAAGTTACCTTATGCCTTAATGAATAACTACCATTTTAGACACACACTTTAAAACAGTTAAAAAAATTTCTCAGCAGTGAAAAAATGCAATCATGTTGAGTCACAGACACAACTCCCCCAAAAACCATAATTATCATCAAATGGAAAAATAACAGTAAAACTATTTATCATTTAATTAAGAATTGTAGAAAATAGGTACCATTTTTCTGACTCAAGGAATGCATCTCTCTTCCCAAGATGAATAGCCACAGACATTAAATAGAGAAGTCTTTCTTACAAAATAAGTGACACCACAGAAACTCAATTAATAAGAAATTCACAGCACTAAAAAATATGCCCAGTTTTATTGACCCATCTTTTAAAGCAGGAATCTAATAGTGTGCTTGTGAATCTGAGTATTAGTAGCCAAAACCCGGTTTGCATCTGTATCTCTACTTAAAACAAAAAGACTCATTTCTTTGGTACCAGTTCTTTGTACAGCAATACGTAACTGAGAAGTGCTTCTGAAAATCTCCCTCCCCAAAAATCACTCAATTTACTGAGGTATCTAAACAATATTTT